ATAGAGGTGGGAATAAAAAATAGCTGCTTATTTTTAAGTTAAGTGCAGTGGATATTAGTTGTTTGGGGTCAGATGGTCATTTAAATACTCATAATTTTCTGTGGATCACCAAGAAAAAGAAGGAAACCCTAACTACCTAATTTTGGGGGGACCAATACTATTTACTTACCTGTCTGCTAGCTATGGCAAATGAGATTCTATTGGTCAAAATGTGTCTTGTTGAATGATTGGAAAACTCTGAAGCCAAAATATTTTACAGAGTAGTATCTTTCCAAATCTATCACCTCCATTTTATTACATCCACAGAGACTACTACTACCTCAAGAGTTATTGGGAGAGATGGCCAATCAGCAAACCCTGAATCTAATTGTGACCACGTGCCTAAGTTCTGTCTAACAGTGTAGGAGCAAAAGTGATTAGTGCTACTTCTATGTAAAATTTTCTAAGGGAAGTACCACACTTTTCACTATGGTTTCCCACCAGTGCTACATCAGGAAAAAGGCATGATGGTAGTAAGAACATTTTGACAAAATACACAAAATTTATAGCTACCAGGTTTATGGGAGTGAAAGATAGAGATACTTCATTTAGTCTCTCATGAAATGGTTCTTAAGCCACTCCTCCCAACTCTTTATTCTTATTTCTTCTAGCCCTCAACTTACACCTCTGTGTCTCTGGCTTCTTTTCCCCTGAGAGAGCATTGGAATCTAGGAAATGAAGCCCAGCCTACCTATGAGGAACTGGTGCAGGACAAACTGAGTGCAAAATCAGATTCTTCTAAGCGGGCCAAAGGAGGAAATCCTGTAACTTATGGAGAAATAAACAGTTGTGATTATTAGTGTATTGATGAAATCATCATAGAATTCAAAAAAGGTATCAAATTTAAAAAGCTACTGGATATGAGTTTTTGCCTATTTAGTATGGGAGAAATTGAAATTAGAAAGATATATAGCAAAACTCATTATCTATGAACTAACATAAATTCACGTCTATCCATCGATTATCATATGTATTGAAGTCGCGATAAAATGTAAATGGTAGATGGGAATTTAACTAGGAAATGATACGATAGTCTTAACAAATTCATGGTGGTGGTTTTATGAAAATTTTAAAGTTGTAGAATTCTCTCATCATCATACTTATACCTAGTTATGGGTAATTCTCAAGACTTAAAATATGCTTTAAATTACTGTAGCATAAATTGCCTTCTACCTTGCCTTCAGCAATACTTAACTTATGCAATTCAATCTCTGTTATCCCATAGAGTGAATTTAACACTCAATTCTTAATTGTAGCATGTACTTGAGTCTTTTTTCTTTAAAGCTTATTCATATCAATTTTTAGAAGTAATTGTGATTGACTCAAGCCTCGTGGCTCCTCTGAAGTTTCGCTTCCACGTTAGAGGAACACAAGTGTGAGTTCAATTTTCTTTCTTGAATTGAGAAATAATTGAGGACAGTTTAGAAAAGAAGTCAAGTGCTTGTTTTCCCTGAGTAATGTGTAATTTTGATTTTTGAGTGTAGCATCATGGATGATGTGTTTAATGCTGATTCGGAAATTGCATTTAAGAGAGAAATGTAAGAAGAGTTTGCTGATAAAAGAAATACAGTGGGTAGAAGCAGATAGAACTAATTAATAAGGATTCATTCCAAAAGAAAAATTTGGTTTTCACAGCTATAAAGGGAAATATATGATTGAGAACTCAAAGGCTCAAATAGCCAAGACGAATAAAGGTATGAAAATAAACAAAAGCCATAACAAAAAGTGTATTTTAAATTGCATAGACAGTTGATATTATACTATATACTTTATGAAAATTGATATCTGCCTCCATTTAATAAGTGAAATATAAGTTTAGGCTGTTATTGTTTAAATGGATAGGATTATACATTTAAAATAAAATGAAATAAATTCCAAATCTGTTACCTCTTTGTTAGCCTATAATGCATAGTGCATTATTATTTCCAAAATTACTCTAAACAATAAGTACATATATTTAATCCCCTAAAAGATGTCTCCTCACATTCTTATATAAGAACTAAAACTCCTTAAATTGTAAAATTAAATATTATAGGTAGAAAACAAAGAAAGAGAAAGACAGCATCTGATATTTACCTATATTTATGTGCTTCTTCTTTGGCACAAAAATATTTTGGAGATATAAGTTTTTAATTGGAAAATAGAATTTTTAACTTAGAATTTAGTTGATTTGTACAAACCTAGACAAAAGAAAGAAGAAAAGAAAAAAATTCTTAAGTAGATGAATGCAATGAAAGTAATACACGAATGGTTGTAAAATCTGACTTGTTTCAGTTCTTTATAATTATCAAACTGTTAAAGTTTATCAAAAGATTACAATGCATTTCAAGATATTTTTTATGATAAGATTGAAAGAGTATAATTAAATTTGTGCCTCCTCTCCTTAATGTTATTTTGGGGGTTATGTATTTTTGACTTTTATTAGAACATATTCGTAGTACATAATGATCACATCCGATTTAGGAAATTGGTACATGTATGTAACACATTTCAATTCTTTTTTTCCTCCTTCTCTGCACCTCCATATTTTCTCCAGCATCAAATGTATTTTCTTATCTTATAAGACCTTATAAAATTAATTATCATACATACAGATTAGAAACCAGACTAATTGACCAAAGAATGCATAAAACATTGAATACAATTTTACCAAGTTAAGGTACATTCTTAAGTACCTCATCTATGTGTTTTCCCATTTAGGGACATCAGGGGGCAAAGACTCATAGTGAGTAATCGAAGGAGACAGAAGTGGCTGAACTTCACTGTCATCTGCTTGAGCATTTGTGTGAATTAAACATTTAAATATGATTAATTAAGCCATTAACCTTTACATTAAAAATTCTATTTTATGCTGTGTACTACACCATAGTTCAACTGTCATTCAGGTATTAATTAAATTTAAGGCCAACATATTTGTTTAAAACTTATATATTAATTTATTAAGAGACTAAAAACATCAAAACAATTGCAAGACATTTTATCATTATGTAATTATTAAATTAATATTATCACTAAAGATATATTCAATATTTTTTAAAAAATCATTCTCTATTAATTATAAGGATTCATTATAAGAATTAGAATTAAAATACAAATTCTTTATACTTGATAAATTTTCATTTTAGTGTTATACCCTATTTTTAAATAATGACTATAATTTAATTTATTAAAATGTAATTGAAACAATGATACTTTTATAGAAACAAAAATTTTTAAATTGGAATTTTCATAACATAAATTCTATATAACATTACATCTACTATGTCAATATATAAGTGGAAATTAGTTTTATTTCACAGATTTAAAATAATAATATTAGAATCATAGCTTGCATTTATAAACCACTAAGAATAAAGTTCAACTTTATATTTTTAACTATCCTTCAGGTGCCAGATATCTAATTTTTCCTCAGAATTTTTTACCACATCATAAACAAAAAGAGCAGTACTAGAGGTATCACAGGACTGAACCTCAGAATGTACTACAAACCGGGTGTGTGGTGCATACCTGTAATCCCAACACTCAGGAGGCTGAGGCAGGAGGATCTCTGTAAATTTGAGACCAACCAGCACTACTTAGTGAATTTCAGGTCAGTCTGAACTACATAGTGAGACCCTGTCTCACCCCCCCAAAAAAAACAAAAAAAACACAAAGCCACACTAAAAATAAACACACAAAACAGCATGATGCTAGCACAAAAATTGACAACTAGACCAGTGGAATAGAAAACAGGCCACGGAAACAAACCTATACAACCACAGCCATTTGATTCTTGAAAAAGTAAAAAACATACATGGAAAGAAAATAAAATCTTCCTCTTTACCCCATAGTGCTGAGAAAACTGGATATCCATAGGTAGAACACTAATACAATATCTCTATGCTTCATACTGTACAAATGTCAGTGTAAAACAGGTCAAAGGCCTAGATGTAAAACCTCAAAACTTGGAACTGACAGAAGAAAATATAAGAGAAATACAGTGCTTGAAGGCAGAGATAACAACTTCATGAATAGGAATTCATTACAGCAGGGTTAATAACAAGAATTGACACATGGGACTACTTGAAATATAAAAGCTTCTGCAAAGTTAAGGAAACAATTAACAGAGAGAAAAGACAAGCTACATAATGGGAGAAAACCTTTGTCAGGTACGCTTCTGACAGAAGATTAATATACAGAATATATACAGTACTCAGTAAACAATATCAAAAAGCCTCAATCAATAAATGGGAAATGAATTGACCAAATGCTTTCAAAAGTACAAATTGCCAAGTGTATGAAAAAACAAGTTCAACTTTCACCATCAGAGAAACGCAAATCTAAACTACATTGAGATTCTATCTCAGCTCACTCAGAATTGCTATCATCAAGGGGAAAAAAATAAATGCTGACGAGGATGTGGGGAAAATGGAACTCTTCTACACTGTTGGAGAGAATGTAAATTAGAGTAACCATTATGGAAATCAATATAGATGTTCCTCAATAAACTAAAAATAGAGCTAGCATTTTATCCAGCTATACCACTTCTCAGTATATTTCTAAAGAATTAAAGTCAGCATACTTATAGAGTTATGGGCACTCTCATGTTGCACATTGCAGCATAAATTATAATAGTTAAGCTATGAAAAGAGCCAAAGTTTTTAAACAGTATTTCTGCACACATTGTTCAAACTACAGATGTTGGTGTGGGGAAAAGTAACTCTTGAGCAGCTATTTCTCATAGCTTTTATTTCAAGGGTTTTGTGTTCCAGTAATATTTTACTGAATACTTACTTTTGCTTTACTCTGAACAGTTAGTAAAATCTAGTTTTGACAAATCAGCCGTATATGTTAGCACAGTTTGGTAGCATTGTCGAAATTGATTTCCAGATCCATAGATCATTTTTTCTTGAGAAAGAGTGAAAAAATGATGCAAATTATGTGTAAGGACATCTTCCCAGGAAACTTCGGGATGAAACAGTCAGATTCTTAAAGAAATTGGTGGGACATTTTCAAGATATAAATGCAGACCCACAAGATTTAGCTAAAGAAAAAGGAGAACAAAATTCATTAAGAAACGATTAAAAGTAAGTATCTTTCCTGGCTGATAGGAGCATTCTTATTGAAATTTTCATTTATGAATAATGAAAACAGAATAAACCAAGATAAGTAAAATATAGTTTTATTTCCGTTATTGAGATACTTTATATTGCCTAGATACCCGAGTAAATAAGTGGAAGTTAAATATGTGGCTGGCAGCCATAACCAGGTGTGCATGGAATGTAGAGAGCATTCTTGGTAAGACATAATTCTCCCTACCATGATTCTCATGTGTGATAAATCATATTAAAAGACATAACTGGAAAAATTGTGAGGTTAATGGAAGCTCTGATAATGATTATGTCACATATTAAACAATGAGGAAATTACCTTGTTTTATTATGACTGCTTAAAAATATGTGCATTCCGGCCGCCTCTCGCCGCCCACCAATAGGCACGCCCCTTCGACCAAGGACCGCGGAGGAGCCTAGCCACATGGGCCCCAATACAGCGGTATTCATGCCTCCCCCTCACCCCTGGCAAACAAGAGAAAGAGGGCCTCTCTAAGGCTTCTAGATGAAAGTTGAAGCCCACTAGAAATGTGAAGAAAATCCGCAAAAAAGCCACATCACAGCACCATGATTGGTGAGTAGAAGGCACCAGCATCTCACAGCAAACTTGGTATGACTTTAGGGGAAACACAGCTGGAACATGCACCAGGACCTTGCAGAGTTCACCTAGTGGGAGGACAGAGATCTCAACCTGGGCCTTGCAGTCAAAAATCAGCCTGAACCGCAGGGGACAGCGGCTGGCTTGTGGAGACTACTTAGCTTAGACCTGCACACTCCTGCCCACACTGTCTATTGTGTTAACAGAGGCACACTCTGAAGGAGGCGCTCTATTTCTATTTGTATTTCTTATTTTCAAAGTAATATTTTCACCTATCTTTAATCATTTAAAATATTTTATCTTTCTCTTTTCTCAAAATTTTCCTGTTTTTAATCTTCTTTTTCTTCTTCTTCTTCTTCTTCTTCTTCTTCTTCTTCTTCTTCTTCTTCTTCTTCTTCTTCTTCTTCTTCTTCTTCTTCTTCTTCTTCTTCTTCTTTCTCTCTCTCTCTCTCTCCTTGATTTCCATTACTCCCCCTTTTTGTTACTGTTCCTATCCTACTTTGAATTTATTTTCTCTCTTTTCCCTTTCTTCTCTTTTTCCTTCTTTCAAAATTGCCATTAGTTTTAAATGGAAGTCATTACAGTTTCTCTATTCTTGGGACTATGTTGTTCTGTCTTGTCTTCTCTTCAACAGCTCCCTAGAGTTTGTGTGATCTTCTTGTGTCCTCTGACCTCAGTTCTAACGTTTCTCTATGCTATCTATCCCTCCCTCCCCAACTCCTTCGAAATTCCCAACCTGAAGAGTAAAGTTGATATATTGAAATTTTTCACTATAAACATATTTAGGGCTGGTCCTCAATTTTGATTTCATACACATGGATACAGGTGATCGATTAATAACTATCTCAAATTGCCATTTTCTAAGCTGTGCTGATGCTATTGTGTTGCTGATTGTATCACTTGGGCTAAGGTGTTGTGATTGATCTAATCAGTTGTCCTCCTTGGTATAATGAAAAATCAGTTTTCCTGAGAGACATGAGAGACTCAAAACCTAAAGACGAGCTATATCTGGAAGATTGAAGTATTAAATCAGGAATTAAAGCAAGGCCTGCACCAATAACAAAAAAGAGAAATGAGAAGTCATTTAAACAAGACATAGACACAGACTTCCACCCCACCAAAGGTAAACTCTGGGGGAAATGAGGTGGAAAAGTCTGACAGTCAACCGTCTGGGCACACAGGAAGTAAAAAGCAAAACAAAACAAAACAAAAGATAAATGAGGCTCCAGAAAAATTCAAAACAGAAATAATTTATCAGATAACTACAGAGATAGTGAGCACAATGAAAGACATGTTTAGAGACTCTAGAACAGAAACAGATTTAAAAAAATAGATGAGCTCAGGACCATGATGGAAACCATGAATGTTCAGCATAGAAAAGA